CCAGAGAGGCCAGATCGAGGAGGCACAGCGCGTCTTCGACCAAATGCCTACCACCGCCATCGACACCGTCTCGTGGAACGCGCTCCTCGCAGCCTACACTCGCGGCGGGCGGACGATCGAGGCCGCCAGGATCTTCGACGCCATGGCGATGATCCAGTGCAACACCATCACCTGGAACACCATGATCTCGGGCTTCCTGGACAACGATGAGCCGCATGCCGCGATCCAGGCTCTCCGGAGGATGGATCTCGAGGGCTTCCAGGCGGATCGCGTGAGCCTGATCGCGGGAGTGTACGCGGCGGCCGGGATTGGGAGCGCCGCCGCCGGCGAGGAGCTCCTCGCTGCCGGGATGCTCGATCTCGACCGCGACTCCAGTGCCGCAGCGGGCGCGATCCATCTATATGGCCGATGCTGCAGGCTGGATCGCGCGCGGGAAATCTTCGCATCGATCGCGCGCCGCGATGCGCTGTGCTGGGACGCGATGGTGAGGAGTTTGGCGCACGCCCGGGAGCTCGGGCTCGCGCTGGCGGCGCTGGAGAGGATGCCGTACAACGACCTCTACGCGTGGAACGCGGTGGTGGCGGCGCACGCCCAGGCGGGGCTTGTACGGCAGGCGGAGGAGCTCTTCGCCGCCATGCAATACCGAAACGCAGTGTCGTGGAACACGATGATCGCTGGCTACGCCCAAAACGGCCACCACTGCCGCGCTCTCCACCTCTTTCGATCCATGGACCTCGAGGGCGTGCCGCCCACCAAGATCTCCTTCATCTCCTCGATCGATTCATGCGGAGAGGTGGCGGTGGCCGCGGTGGGGGCGGCGGCGGGGCCGCTCCTCCACGCCGAGATCGCTGGGAAGAGCTTCGAGTGGGACGTGGGCGTGGCCACCGCGGTGATTAGCATGTACGGCAAGCTCGGCCTCCTGGACCGCTCACTGGCGGTATTCCACGGCATGCCGCGGAGGACCGTGGTTCCGTACAATGCCACCGCCGCGGCGCTGGCCGAGAATGGCCGTTCCCGCGACGCGCTGCACTTCCTCCACACGATGCTGCTCGACGCCGTTACACCCAGCGACGTGAGCTTCCTCATCGCCATCGCGGCGTGCAGCCACGCCGGGCTGTACGAGGATGGATTGGAGCGCTCGGCTGGGATGAGCCAGGATCACGGGCTTGATCCCAGCTTCGATCACTACCTATGTGTGGTGGATCTTTTGGGACGGGCGGGGCAGCTGGGCGACGCCGAGGAGCTGCTGTGCGTGATGCCGTACGAGCCCGACGTGGTAGCTTGGACCGCGCTGCTTGCCGCCAGCGTCAACCACTGTGACGTACACCGCGCGGTGCGTGCCGCCGGGCGGGTGCTCGAGCTCAAGCACGACCCGGCCGCCTATTCTTTGCTCTTGAACATTTGCTCTCCCAGACTGGAAACCAACTGTCAACATAATCTTGACTTTTCTATCGTCACATATTTGTACAGTGGAGAGAGATACAAACAATAGTCAACAATCCATCAAAGAGACTTTTCCACACAACTTGAAAAGGAGCTCTCCTCTTCGCATATGGTGCAGTTGAAGAGTTAGTGTGGCCTTGAAGGAGTCTCTTGCTCTGTTCTTGTGGTTCTCCTTGCAGGGTAGTATATATATTGTCAAAGATGAATTATCTCAGCAAAACTCTTTGACATTGTTGGGAGCTGGGAGAATGCTTGTGCAAACAGTGGAGTTTACTTTGATCACCCAACAAAAAGTGTCACTAAGTTTAACACTTGGCCCTGGTGTCAATTGTAAGGTATGTCCCAGAAGGAAATGATGTGCCCAGCGTGATGGGGTGGTGGGCACAACGAGGCCTCCGATCTCGGTGTGACTCACTGCCAATGTTAAACTGAAGCTCACTCGTTTTGGAAATATGCGTTGAAAATCCTCTCCACAATGGTATTGCCTCTTAGCACATAGCCGTGAAAGGACAATAATCACGTCAAAACTGCTAGTGAGAAGAGCTCTCAAGTCTTCCTCTGTGCACGTATTAGTTCCGGGTGTTCCGGGAGTTCCGGGTGCACGTATTATCTGCACTGCTCGCTTGTCGGGCAAGCTTGTTTGCAACGTCTATGATGTGCCTCATGAATTTTGAAACCACTGGCCAGGGTGTTGCTTAGCTTTTGGATGGGACCATGGGAGCAACCGCTTCTACATGGCTCTTGTTGAACCAAGCTGTTAGCAACCGTGTAAACCTGGCGAATTACTTGAGGCAGAACCAACGAGGCCAGTTCCCTGGAACGAGCACCAGTGACATTGACGTGACGTATTTTGGATGCGATGGCGGCTACGATGGTGATTTCAACGTTATTGGCTTCATCGAGAACTGTTGCAGCTGTTTAGACAAGATCCCAATAGCCCAGGCAGGTTAATCGTACGCACGTGGATAAGAACCTACTAGACGTGGACCAAGTATCAACTACTGTACATGCTGCTGTTCGGCCGCCTACTCGTTTGCTCTTAAACATGTGCTCTAAGAAAGCAAAAGCCTCTAAACAATCGAGAACCCAAAACAATAGCAGCGCAATAATTCTTATTTCTTTATTTTATTATTTTAAATATAACTTTGGGAGTCAGTTTGCATAGAGCAGGGCAAGACCAGACCGGAGGATATAAATCACCCCATTAAGTACAAAATAGATGCAGCTGTTAGGACGAACAATAACAATTACGTTTTGCACAATTCTGATACAGCCTTGGATGCTTACAATTATAGCTGCATCAACTCTGATATATCTGAATGGAGACCACACAGGGAAGGCATTCCCGAAATACTTGCATATGATGATGATTATTTGCGGGCAAGGGTAGCCACCCGGCACGTAAATCACAATAATCTCAAGGATGATGATGATGGGAAGAAATATTACTTTGAGAAGGGGAACTTTAACACAAACGTCATTCAGGTTGGTTATAACTTGCTGAAGTGAGCCGTTCACTTTGTTAACCGAATCTGCTGGGACACCAATGTCCTGTTCACCTGAGACCTGCTTCAGAGAACGCATTGTACCTTTAAAATCATATGAAAAAACAATTAGTAGGCTACTAATATATATAGTGAGAGATAGATATATATACCAGAAAGATCTTCACTGAGTGAGATATCTTGCTCCGGAACAGAGACGTCCATGCCAAAAACATTTGTGGATGCTAAGAAGAGGCACAGGAGCGAGGCAACAATTGCCACATTTAACTTTGCCATTTGATTAATGCACAAATATAGGGGAAATGAACAGGAAAAGTGTGTGTTGTAAGTTTTGAAATGATACATGTTTAAATACTCAGATAAATTTCACCAAACAGGATAGATTCAAATCATATCAAATTTGATTGGGAAAGATGGTTGCCAAACACTGAAACTTCAATCGAAACAACTTAAGGTTTACGAATATTCTATGATATTTTAAGTTATGAAACATTGTTATTACTTAAGTAGTTTTATTAGAAGAAATGGAAACCACACAAACAATATAAATCGCGATCAAACTATGGCGAGCAGCAACAACACCACGATCGCCGCTCCAGATCCAAGCGAGGTCATCGATCTATAACCAGCGGAGGTTTCTTGTCCGGCAACTCCACCAGTGGGCGAGAATGCTTCCTCTGGCGATGGAGATGGAGCAAAAGCCTCGTACTGTGGCTTGATCTCCAGCTCCATCTTGAGCCCCGACTGGCAATCGTTCCCATTGGCGCTCGTGTAGTAGCGCATTCCCAGAGGCGGCACCACCTTGAGCAAAGTTCTTCCATCGCTTTGCCTCGACGCGAGTCCGAGCACCGGCACAAAGTAGGACTCGTTACAAAGCTGGTAACCGGGCTCCCAAACTTCCACCACCGAGTGCTGCGAGGCATTGAACAAAAACCCTGGAAAAACCCCAAGATTGTTTCCAAGTCAAAAAAAAAAATCTAAACAACTTACTGAAAGAATCCCCAAAGTAGAAGTTTTTGTTGGCAGTCCACTGCGAGTAATCCACACCTGGAGCCCATCCTCGATCATCTCCAACCGTGTACTCTGTCGGAGTGTAAACCGGAGGAGACTCGACGCTCACCATAAACTTCTTCCCAGCGTTGCAATTGTCCTGGACCGAAGAGACGTAATAGTTTTCTCCCACCCATGGCACCACCGTCTCGTTCCATGTCGTGTTTCCTGGATGTGGGAAGATCTTAGGGAAGCGCAAATCCCAATTGCAGTCATCATAGACAGATTTTGGCACCCGGAGGATGGTATCACTCGCGGAGACTGTGAAGACTGCCAGAGAAAATCGCCCCAAGACACCGGATTTATAAGTTCCTCGCGCTCTATAGAGGTAGAGTTATACTCACTCAGTATGTCACCAGCGTGAAAGACTCTGCCTTGAGACCATTGCGTGAAATTCACTCCAGTCGTCCAATGGCCAACGTAGTAATCCGTTCCTTCAGCAGCAGTGCCAAGGATCTGGATCGCGATGCAGCAGCAAGTAATCACAAGAAACTTCATCGTGCTCGTGACGAAAAAGAGAAACGAAAGGGAATATGTTCTTGCGGCTCAGTTTGGAACACACATGTAAAGGAAGAACTCGTCTTCTAGAGCGCTGTGTGACGTGGTCCTCGAATTGAATCGTTTGGGTCTCTAGAAGATGCTGACTTGTTGTCACGGAAATTGCCACGAATAGAAGCTATGCTTATTCTGGAAATCTAGAGTAAATGGCTACGCGGTTTCATTATTTATCTAAAAGTTAGTACGAACAACAAAAATGTAGAAAGCCTTTGTTTATTTCCAAAGAAAAAAATATTTCTCTAATTTTTCATTGTGATTGAGAAGTATGTCTCCTGCTCTATAGCAGCCACCAAACTTTCCAGAGCCCCAAGGTATAAGATTTTGTTGTTTGCCCAAACCTTCAATATATCCTGATGGAGTGTGTGCTTTTATCCAGGGTGCAATAGTCCAAGTTGGCTGCTCCTAAGCTCACCCAGCTCACCAATTGCAGCCCTAGGGGCCTTTTTGCAGCCAGATTGCTTCCCACTAGCTTGCAGCACCAAGGAGATGCTGAGCACAGCCTCTCTAATGATTCTTTCTCACTCCAAGTTGGCCGTGATAAAAATGCCTTTTGGCTCTCTCCCACACACTCCTCAACTTTGGGAAACACTGTTGGTTTGAAATGCATGTTAAGATTTTCTAACCTAACTCACCAAAGAAGGTGGCAAGCTCTTTCTTTTGCCAGGATTCTCTCCTTGCCACTCCAATTGTTCATTACATTGGGTCACTATGTTTCTACAGTTGGTCACAAGCAACACAAAAATTCCTACATTAGAAAGATGGGATGAGCTCAAAATTCTCTCCACAGACTCCAAAATTTCTTCCAACACACTTAAATTGCTACTCTAAACTTCCAAACACTGTGTCTATAGAAACTTGCAAGTTACTAAGAGATTCCTGATAAAGAGCACTTTTTTTCTTCTAAAAGAAGATTGAAATTTATTTGAAAAGCATGATTTATGAAAATTAATCACTTGCATAATTGTCAACAAATTGTAGATTGACACATATGCCAATTATTACTTTATCCCTAGGCATTGTGCACTATGATGTAAAGCCATTAAATCTAATTTTTGCTGGCAATATAGATGCTTTTAAGCTCATTGGCTTTATTTCTAAGATTAAAAGGTCATGGTTGTCCAAAAGGGTGAAGCCTAGCTGGACTTTATTGCTTTAAGGTTGAAAAAAATGGTTTAAATTTTTGTCATTAAGTTATTATTTTTTGTTGATATTTGTAACCTAAATTTTAAGAAAATAGTTTTAAGACTTTATGTTTTGTTGTTAGTAGTCATTAGATTTAAAGTCAAAATTAATTTTTTTAATTGATATTTTTAATTTCTATTTATGACTAAATTTTAAGAAATTTATAATAGTTATAAATAACAAACTAATATATTTAGTTATTATGTTTGAATAAATTTTAAGTCATTATTGTGATGATATTTTAAGTTGTTATAATTAAAGACAATTTTAGTTGTTTATAGTAAAATATAAAATAAATAGCTGATAGTTTAATTTATAACCAATAAATCACAGTTGAAGCTAATATAGAGCTAACAAAATTGCATATCTTGAGCTAACATAGGCTATCAGCAAATCATACACAATAATCCATAATAAAGTGTTATGATCAAACATACTATATGTTGATGTGGCAAATACAAGATTAAGAGTGATACCATACTAGGATAACTTTGAGTGCTACTAAATAATATAATTTTTCATCACTTGTCCTTGTTTGTGATTGTCTTTAGCTTCATTTTGCTGAAGTTTTGTTACTACAACAATCTTTTTGATTTAGTTTTTGAGAGGCAAGTCAAGGTGAAACATTCCCACAATAATGCCATTAAGGAAATAAATCAATTCATATTAAAAAACATGAAAGAGAAATTTATATTGTTGTACCCACCTTACAAGTGAGTTGCAACTGAGTGACCAACACAAACCACCCTTAATCTTAACAATGTCATCTATAATAGTAGCATTAGCCAGTGCTTCATAGGAAACTCTCTCTTAGGAAAATTTAGGAAGATATAATTGGAACATAGTCACCTTTAGATCATTGTGGAAGCATCATTATGATGTTCTTGTTGTCTTCAAACCTCACAAGTTGCAACAGATCAATAAATCATGTATAGAAATTAATTTTTTCAATGGAAGCATCCTTGCAACACTAGTGGAAAATCACAATTTACAAGTTAGTTTTTCTGTTTTGAGAAATCTAAGAAATCTTCTACTTGGAGGAAAACTAGAGCCAACTTCAATGTTACAACTTAGAGCCACTGAAAGTGTTAAAAGTATCATACCTTGAATAGATAAAAGTTTAGACTCAGCCCAATAAAACAAAGAACGACTACTCTTACCATACTCTAATTCTACTATACTCTTACTTGTATCCATTTTATGTTTGGATGTAGGAGAAGATTGACAATACATAGTAGTGAGTGATGAGAGAAATCAAAGGAAAATTTTCATACTTACCATGAACTCCTTGTAGTGAAAACCATGAGAATCACTAAACTCCTTACAGTGCAGGATATTCCTTAAATATCCCAAGATCCTTGGAGTGCAAGAGAGACAATATAGGGCAATCATGGTTAGCACAAAATAAAACTACTTATATTCTAATCACCACAACCCAAAGAGAATTCATCTAGAGCACCTTCAAGCTTTTAAAATAGGAAAAATGAAAACTCTAAAGTCAAAGACAAGCATTAAGACCACTTGCCTTGCCAAATGCTAGTACCTATATCTAAGACTTAGCCATATTTCTGAATAACTGATAAAAATATTTACAAAAACTAAACAAGTAAAACTATAAGTTCATCATGAATATACCTTCTTGATAATCATGAAAATACTTTTCTTTCTTAGGTCAAGAAGGCAAAATGAATCACATCATTTCTTACCTTAAAGCACAATGTTTGGGATCCAAATTGCACTAGGGCTTTGCTTTGTAATTCAAAGAAAGCTTGGAGTAGTAGGAATGTATACCAGATTTGTTTGGAGAGCCTTCGTCCAAATAATGACAAATTAATACTAAATAGTATTAAAAATTACTTATGTTATGAAATGATCTATTGTTTGGCTTGATATTCTAGTAGTAACTTGAACATTTAAATTAATTAAAAAAGTAGATAAAATAGAAGTACTAACCCCTCCATAAATAGGTAATAAATTGTCTTCACTCCCATGTAATCATTTAGAGAAATAATCAAATGCATTATTATCCTTAATATTATCATTGTCACCACCATTACCACCACCTAAATTCATACCACCATCATAGGAATTATAAAACTGTCACCAATTTCAAAATATTGTTATGTTAAAAATAAATCTACATAATTTAATCCCTTTGATATCTTCCCCTAGAAATGTATTGAAGGATGTTTACTATAAAGATGAATATAATCTGTGATAATCCATATGAGGCAAATATGATTACCTCCACACCTCAAACACTAGCATACAACTTTGATTCCTAAATCCTAGATAAGGAAATATAGCTTCTTATTAGCTTTAATAAGAATATCCTTTATTAAGAAGTTTGTAATTGAATTTTTTTACTGCAACATCTTAACGACTTATATTTTAGTTGCTACTAAGTTGCATTTAACTAATGAAATGGTCTAGTTATAAAGAATAAACTGTAAATTGCAACAATAAATTATGATATATATTCTGTTGTAAAGAATAACTCCATTTTCTAACTAAATTTTGTATGAATATAAAAAATTTCATAAATTGCAACATAAAATTTGTAATTAAAGCCAATTTGCTACTAATATTTTAAGTAGTTAAAATTTACAGCTTAAATTAACACAATTGTTTTTGTTAAATAACATATCTTTATAATGCTATTGTGTAACAATGATCCTTTATTATCCAAGGCCCTGCTTAAACCACCTTTTCTTCTTTTTTAGGGTTTGTCAAATATAACTGCAATGTCAAATTGGTGACTACCTTGAGGGGCACAATGGCATATCTTCACAAACAAAGCCTTCATCAGCGTTGTTCATTGATTTGGACTGTCTTATGATTGTCCAGGACTTTGATTTGATCATTAAGACATCACAAAAACCTAGCACATTGATGCAAAACTCTCATAGCCATGATTGTTTCCTCTAGATCATTAGGGATTTGCAGAAATTCCAGCCGATTATGGAGCAGTACTGCCACACATGCTGGGGTGATTAAGGCAGCGAGCTGAGGAGCTCACCAAGAACATGTTACCCTTCTGACCGCCAAATGACCTGTTTGTTTAAAAGTTGCATTACTATATTTATTTAAGTTTTCAGTCTAGGCATATTCTAAAATATTCACGGTCAAACGATGATATGCTGCACCAAATCCAGCTTCAGGAAACTCCCCACTCCCCATTGCAGTTGCTGAGGGATTCTGTGTACAGTCTATATGAGAGGATTTTTAACACTTGGGCTTATGAAATCTGTGGTAAAGAACCTGGCCAATATCCAACATATTGTCCTTGTATTTAGTTCAACTTGAGCAAGAGAGATTTAGACATTCCATAATCTTTTAATAAGATCTCATGGCTGTCTTGTCTCTGTTGCAATTTAGAGTTGAGGATATTTGATTTCCTGCTTGGCATATTCTAATTTCCCCAGAGAAAATCCTATTATAACTGCTTGTGAAGTTTGAAGAGTTGCTATTTGCAAATGAGGGATTGGGCTGCTAGAACTTAACAAGGTTTAGCTGTTTTTCTATCAAAAGCTCTCACTTGAATAGTTTGATTGGTACCCTTTAGAGAGATCTGGTCTTCAATTCTTGTGCACACAAGCTATTAGACACAGTTTCTAAGAATTAAGTTAGGACATAGAACTTGGGATTCGCTTGAATAGGAAAAAAAACCAACATAAAAAAATCATAATACTGATCTCATGGTTGCAATGAGGATGCTCCAATACCAAACATATAAAATTTAAGCAGTGACATCTAGAAATCAAATGATGATGCCTACTAGCACAATTGGTGGCAATTATTAAAGTCCTTTAAGCAAACCAAAACACTTTTTAGCTAAACTAGGTTATCCACTAGAGCTTGGAAAATGCGGGCTTTCGTTTCTCCTTTCGAGCTCGAATGGCCTCAGCAACGTCCTGGAAAGACATCGATGCCGAGTTTCGCGCGGCAACGTAGTCCAGTCCCTGTGCCACGCTCATGTCACGCCCCTTGACAAGAACAGCCTTGGTGCCGCGCACAGCGAGCTCGGATTTCCCCGCAATCGCTCCTGCCAGCGATCCCACCGCGGCCTCCATTTCCTGCCGGGAATCAAACACCCGGCTCACCAGTCCCAGCTCCTTGGCCTCCTTGCCATCGAAGTTCCGCGCCGTGAGCGCCAGTTCCATCGTGTTTGCGTAGCCCACGATCGCTGGAAGGCGCTGCAAACTTCCCAGATCGGCAGTGATTCCTAGATCCACCTCCTTGACGGAGAAGAGCGAATCCCTGGTGCAGTACCTCACGTCGCAGGCCGTGATGAGGTCGATCCCGCCGCCAATGCACGCGCCGTGGATCATCGCGATGACTGGCTTGCGGCAAACCTCCGGGGCCGAGAGGGAGTCTTGCAACCACCTGATGTATGCGCCGAATCTCTCGCGGCCGCGAGCGCCATCGCCATCGCCACTACTGGAGGAAGGGGAGGAAGACGATTTTGTGCTGAGGATGTTGGTGTCGATCCCCGAGCAGAAATTGGGGCCACTCCCTGACAGCAGCACCACGCGCACCTGTGGATCATCGTCCAGAGCTCGCAGCGCGATCGGGAGCTCGCGGAAGAGGGAGTCGTCCAGGGCATTACCCTTGTGTGGCCGGTTGAGGAGGAGACGCGCGACGCCGTGCTCGTCCACGCCTTCATTGCGTACCACCGCCATAGCCATCAAGAACCCTAATTTCTCAGCTTGTACGAGTGTTAAAAGAAAGTGTTAAAAAAGTTTACAAAATTGTAAAAAAACTACACCAGAAGTAAAATTTCCGGGTAACATTCGGCCAACCTGTTATAAAAGGTTTTAAAACATGTAACATATATATAAAACTAGGATTCAATCTACGCCGTCTGAGAGACAACGGCTTAGATTTGGAGTTCTAGATTGGCTCTCTCCTATCAACGAGCTCGGCTTTCTGATACCACCAACGCAGTCACGAGGAACTTGGCAATGCTGACGGGCTTCTTAGCAGATGCGGCAGGGTTGCCTTGAGTTCAGTCATTTTCTGGTCATGAACTTGCAACTTCAGACGTCTCATACCAGCGGGCTAAGACACAACAAACGTTTTAGTCAAGAAAAATTAAGCAAACTCACTCACATTCGAGACTTTGACAGACATGTGCATGTTCCGAGGGGCCACCTCTGCTGGCTTCGTTCATGTTTCCAAATTCCTGAGTGATCTTGGGGTGGAGGGCCAAAGATGTTGCTGCCAACAAGCTCTTTGGCTTTGCAACTGTAGCACAAGCGTCCCTGCCAAACATCTACATATGCTTAGACATACCATTAAGCTCTTTTTACTTGCCACTTTGTGTATCGCCTCAGACTCCTATTAAGGGAATGTTCCATTCCATGCACTCACAATTATAAACTTCTACATTGGTTTCTTAAGCATTCCAAAATTAGAGTTAAATTAATTTTGGTTTAAACCATAATTATGGCACTAGATCCCATTAAACCTCCAAAGGAAAGTGACCCTCTTTTTTTTTTTGTGACGAGTCATTTACACTGTCTTAATAAATAAACTTTGAGTATCCTTCAGAAGTGTATTTCCAATCATGGAAAGTCTAGATGCGATCTTCATGGAAAAGGATCTATGGGGAGTGATCTAGAGTGACCTCAAGCCATGCGACAATGATGCAGATCAGAAAAAGGAGTGGAATGTGAAAAATAACAAGGGACTGAGGGTTTTAGGACAAGATCTCAAAAAAAAAATTATATGGATATCAATGGAACAATTAAAGTGAATTAGGTTGTTGTATGCCTGATCCTTGGCAAGACTAGCAAAGCAAGATTGCTGCATCTCAAGCACATACATGGTGAAATAGAAGTTTGCCAATGTACTTGTGGATATTCCCAAGCACATTAATGTAGTTTAGATGGAGGAGTTAGATAATGATGAGTTACTCATGGCATTTGACTGAAAGGTCCAATGTAGCTAGCAGGGTCATATTACTTTAAGTTCCAGCAACACTTTTACACAGCTCATAGTAAATCTCACTATGTTAGAGGGTTTCTCAAAGTCTAGGCAAGAAAGCTCAAAGAAGAAAAAGTTTGGCACTATTCATTGGGAAGGAGAAACTATCACTCCCAGTCTGAGCCAGATTGACGTATTGTGGAGGAGTTGCAAAGAAAAAAAAAGCAAATGACTTTCACCTTGGTGGTTCATTGGTCCTAATCAGTCCCCCCTCAGACGTGGAACTTGATGCTTCCCTCTTGTTTCTTGTACTTATAAGCTAGGAAGGCACGTTTTTTGATTGAGATGTAGAAAGATAAAAACTTTACACTCCAGAAACACGTTACACTCTACTGATCTACTCAGTTTGGAGAAAGAAAATTGAGGATGCAGGTTTGGAGAGGCTCCAAACCTTGGCTTCAGAGAATGGTTTATTAAGGCTCTCTGTCCTTCCTCATAAACAAGACTTGGATCAGGCATGTTTTAACACTTACAAAACTTGCTTATTTGTATGTTAATTATATGCGGTGGATGTTATTCCCCAAATAAAAAGCAAAAGACAGGTGCAGTGCAACTATTGTGTGGAGTAATTGGTGGTGGTCGTGGTTCAATGTTTCTCAAAGAGTGGTTGGTTGATACCACCTGGCAAATGAAGAATGGTATAAGAATCAGTGACCTTTACTACGTTCTCTATAAAGTTCATAATATATACTCTGAATATTCTAGGAACTTAAGAAACTTATAAGTTTAAAACCTGAAACTTTAAGTTATCAAATTTTAAAATTTAGATAGCATGTAGATCACCAAGAGCGGAAACCATGAAGCAGCAATCAATGAATTATGTGGAAGACTTGCTACAACGTTTTCACAAAGTGAGATTCATTAATGTGGTCCCTGAAAAACTCTTCAAATCCTTCCCAAAAAAGAAGATCAAGGACATAGGGCAAAACTATGAGTGGCCCGAAGACAAACAAAGTGCTTCACCCCCTTTTCAGTTTCTTCAAACCTTTCTTCACCTCTTCCACAGCATCCAGCAATTCCGTGTTGACAATCCCCCGAAGTTTCCGACCAGCCCAAACAGCCGACAGAGGTGAAACCTGAAGGACAAAATAAACATGTCAAAAATCAAATGAAATATGCCTTACCAGGGGGATTTCTTTGTGCCCCTTTCTCGCTCGCCCACTCCACCACACATCTCCGAAGGCCACCTTTCCTACCCTTGGATGTGGGTTTGGTGAAACAACCAGCCTAAGGTAGCCAGTCCAGCACCACTGTTTTAGTTTTCGACAGGCTCCTCCTGAATGCAGCATCTTGTCAATCTTCATGATGTCGAGTGAGGAAAAAGCTTGAGTCACACCCAGCCCAGATCCGGTCCTGAACTGTAGAAACACAGGCATCATCTTGTGCGACTCTTTGCTTCTGAGAAGAAACATCCCATCTGGTCCAGCTTCTTGGAATGGTCCAAGCCATGCATAAGTAGCAAACGATGCACCAGCCTCAACAGCTTCAAGCCACAGGTTCAACTGTTCTTCAGTCTGAATCTCCTGAACCAGCACCCCCGAGTGCCCTCTTGGCTTTACAACTTCATACTCCTCCTTGTAGACCACATCTGTTTCCTGCAAACCCAAAACCTCAGCTGGTAGCTTGTTGTCAAATGCCTCCCCCACGATGCATGCAAACCGCTCAAAGGTAATGCCACGGACTGATGCGTTTGCAGCTGTGCTGATGACTCGCTCCATTACTGTACCAGCAGGCATATGTTCCCAGAGTGCTTCTGCAATCATCGGCTCTTGAAGGATCACGTATTGCACGTTAACCAGACCTGAAGAACCAGGTCCGGCTTCATCACCCCTCACCCCTCTTATGTGTGGAATGATCGGTGCAAAAGGTCCAGCACTGGCATCACTCTCAAGCAGCGTTGCAAAGCCACAATCCACTAAGGTCATGATACTCCTCTTCCGCTGCACAATAACATGACCAAAACCTGGAAAAGACCAGCATGAGGAATATATCTGTAAAGAATCAGTGACACATACCTGTAAGATAATACGTGAACAGAATGTCCTCAATCATTTGTGCCGTCTCTGGATCATCCCACACCCGCTCCGCTTCATCCCTTAAAGACCGAAGAAGTCCAAGCTCCACCCCAGGCTTTTTGATCAACTCCAAGAAGAAAACTTGGAACCAATCCTCTGGTGGTTTGTCCTGCACAACGTACTTCTCAATCGCCGTGCTCAAAAGTCGCCTTCTTCCAGTGTACATGGAAGTAATCGCGGGCATGTCCAGCCTGCTGATATCTATAAACCGTTGGAGAAAGGCTGGAATGTTGGTGTCGTCAAAGCCAGGTAAACTATATATTTCTCTTACATCGAAAGGCTTCACTGTCCCTCTCAGAAGTCTTTCCCGAACCTTAAGCATATTCGTGCCGGTGCCCGCAACAAACAAGCAGCTCTTCAAGAAACGGTACGACTTCAGAGCCAGTAACATGGGGCTCAACAACGGCTGCCCTTTCGTAGGACTGAGTTCAGACTTGAATCGACCTTTCATACAACGAAGCAGCATTTGAGCCTCATCAAGGACAACCACCCCCTCCTTCCAACCAATGTCATCTGCAAGATTCCTTATAACCTCCTTCAGCTGATCCATAGGCAGTTGCTGATCCACTGGAACACAATCGATCAAGGCTTCAACCGCAGCACGGAAGACATCATCAACTGCCGGGTACTCCAACTGGAAAAAAGCCCAATCACGAGGATGAAGCCCAGGTTTCATCGCTTTCAGCAACTTCAAATATTTCAGCCGGACAAGAATCAAAATCCCAACACCAAACCGCACCACTGCATGATTCGGATCAAGATCGTGTTCACCTGCGGGGAACCGAGTCTCCATCCATCTGGCAACCCTGTCTACATCATTCGATCCTCCTCCAAATCCAACCATTGGACGCTTACCCGTGAAAAACAAGGTGAATCTACTGCAGGCAAGTTCAATCAACATTCTCGTTTTTCCTGAACCGCTGGGAGCCAAGAGCACGGTGGTGTGGCGTTCTGACAACCTCTGCGCAAACCGATTGTCGAGCTCCACAAGTCCATCTCCTACGCCTTCCCATAAAAGGCATGGCAGGTTACTAAGCGCGCACATGAGTGTCCGGGCCGAGGGAAATTTCGCCTTACAAGCCGACTCGTGAGGAGCCAACCGAGATATGAACTGCGATTTCGTGGAGATGGAAGTATCACACACCTGTGATATGCCCAATCCTGTTATGGTTGTTTTTGTTTCTGTTTCAGACAAGAAAAGGAGTGAGCAACATAGCCAACATGGTGTGACCACACTGGCCCAATCGACTAATTACAAAAGATCGCAGAATACCAACGATCCAACAGCACGAGAGCCCAACAAGCCACGAACAAAAGCCTGACGCAACAGCACACGACGCCATAGGCTGAAGCAACCCAGAGCACAGAACAGCAAAACGCCCCAAATCGAGGGGGATAGCTAAATACACAAAGAATGACTTACCATTACTTCTGAGGAGGAGGAGTTTTTTCTCCCGCAGCAGTTCTTCCTCCTTCCGCAGCTGTTCTTTCTTCTTCCGCAGCTGTTCTTTCTTCTTCCGCAGCTGTTCTTTCTCATTCCGCCAATATTCCGCCAGAGATTGATTGCCACTCTGAAGGGCAGAGAGAAAAGATTCCCCAGCCGCTTGGATCTGCGGCTCAAGAAGCCCGATTTGAGCCACCACCTTAGCCAATTCCTCGTCCATTTTGCTAGCTGAAACCCTATCTTGAAACCCTCTTGTATGGGACGGTTTAGGGTTTAGGGTTATATTAAAATATAATTAATTATAATAAGTCCTTGATTATAAACGAGCGAAGCAACATGGATCAAAGAGAAAACGAGGGGCATAGGAACAGAACACAACAGTCATAGCCAGACAAACAAACGCGAAGCAAGAGAAGCCATACCTGGCACTTTGAGGTGCGGCTCAAGCTTCTTAGCAGCAAAGACAGGCACCCTTAGCTGGATCACTTCGTCGTATGTGAGATCTTTCAACTCCCCCACAAACTCGTAGCCCTCTGATTCCAGACTTTGCACAGATAGATCAATCACGGCCGGTTTCCCGACTATTTGAAATGACCGCACCGTAGCAGTAAAACTTTCAATGGATTAGAAAACCTTTTATGATCTTTAAAGCATCAAATGCAGTAGCATGAACAAAACAAGATCTGCATCCAGCTTGTTAGCTTGTCAGCCACCCCCACCAAAGCCATAACTCTTTCCCAGGAAGATCATTTGCAATTGGTCATAGCCAGACAACACTCCAGCTCCAGCCACGGCTCTCAAGATGTTAGCACCTGCACCCTTAAACAAGGACTTGACTCCTTCCTTGGCCATAATTCCCCTCAGTGCGTGCATTGAGCTCTTGTACTTGGCACCCTCGCCAGACCTCATCATTATAGGCCGCCTCACCGTGTCAATCGGGTACGAGGCAAGGCCAGCAGCAATGGTGATGCTCCAGCCCAAGAAGAAACTCGCAGCAAAGTTGCCCTGTTGCACAAAGAAGAAAGCACGATTGATTGCTGGAGCAAGCTAAAAGGTCACCTTGAGGTCTCCAACCAACAGCACCGGCTTGAGAGAGTCGTACATTCCAAAACAGAGGCCCCGGTACACAACAATACCCACGCACGAAATGTTGAAGCCGAGGTAAAGGCCGGCAATGCCATCGCTGGCCAGGGTCTTCTTGTACACGTCCAGGAGGCCATTGAACTGGCGGCCACCGCCACCACCCTTCTTTGCAGCCTTGGCGTCGTTGGCCAGGCGAGTCCGGGCATAATCCAGCGAGTAGACAAAGAAGAGCGAGGAGGCACCGGCAAGGCCTCCCGACGCCAGGTTTCCAGCAAACCACACCCAGTAGCCGTCCCGGTCGGCCTTAAAGTTGAAGAGCCTCTTGAAGTGGTCCTTGAAGGCGAAGTTTAGCGCCTGCATGTACACCAGACAATGAGCAAATTGATAGGAGACCAAGATATCAGGAAAGAGAATTGAAAAACATGTATCACATAAAATATATAATCACGTATGCAGGATCACGAAGAATATTTATGTTGTCACCTTGATAAACATAATAGAAATTATAACAAAACACAAGTGTTAAAAGTAAACTTGAGTAAAAGAGGCAACAACACTGATCGTTTAAAAGAGATGCGGGGTAAAATTCTTAAAAATAAAGAAAACTATGATTCGATCTACACCGTCCCTTTACACGCATAGACAACGGCTTAGATTTGGAGTTCTAGACGAGAGCAATGCTGCTCTCTCCACCCGGTGGCTTTCTGATGCCACCAACGCAGTCGCGAGGAGCGGGCTTGTCGTCGGCAAAGATGTCACTTCCACTCATCTCTCGGAGCTTGGCAACGCTGACGGGCTTCTCGGCGGACGCGGGAGGGTCGCCTTTGAAGATGTTGTTGCCGCTGAGCTCAGCCATTTTCTGGTCGTGAACTTTCCTAGCCGCAACTTCGGACGTCTCCGAGCCAAACAGGATCTGGCTTCGCCCACCAGCGGGCTGAGAAACAACAAACTTTCAATCGAGAAAAAGATCGAGCAAACCCACTCACATTCGAGACTTTGACAGACGTGCGCACGTTTCGAGGGGCCGCCTCCGCCGGCTTCACTTCCTTCGGCTCTTCCCTTGCTTCCAAATTCCTGTTGAGCGATCTCGGGGGTAGCACGGGCGGAGGGCCGAAGATGTTGCTGCCAACGAGCTCTTTTGCTTTGAAACTGGAGCGCGAGCGCCCCTGCTGGATGTCTGCATACGTCTCGGACGTGCCACTCAGCTCTTTCTGCTTGGCAACTTCGTGAATCGCCGTTAGTTTCTTCGGAGAGGCGCACTCCTCCACAGCAAAGTTGATTTGGCTTACACCGCCAGCCGGCTGCAAAAGTGGGCCAAAGCTAGAAAGAAAAAAAAAGCACTATAAAAGTTTCACCTGGTGCATACGAACGCCCGTTCGCTCTGGAACACCGTTGGCGGAGTCGGTCCCATCAGTCAGAATCCCACTCCCAAACATTTCTTTCCTCTTGGTGTCAGAACCAGGTCGCCTTCTCGAGACAAAAGTTTTTAGCTATGAGGATTCTTGCTTTCCAGTTCTCTTCGCTGTAAAGAAGAGAGAAAGACAAAGAAGAAAAGGCCATACATACCTCTTGAGGAGTGCCTCGGCCTCTTCAGCAGTTATCTGGTCTCCAAACTTTAGTGTGCTCACCCCTCCAGCAGGCTGGAATCTCAGTAAAGAAAAAAGAACATGAGAAGAGCTTCACTCCATTCACTATTCCATTGTAAACACATCTATCTATCTCACGAAATAAATGGAAGCAAAGCGAGAAAAACTCTACCTGATGCATGCGAATCGTTGGACGCCCCACTGGACTCCCATTCTCGGTAGCGGCATTTCTCTCGTAATACGATGGCGATCTTGGAGCGGCAGCTTGATCCTGGGACAAATCCGGGCCCTCGGACCAGCTGAAGAGATCGAAAGTGGTAGCGCCTCCTGGCGGCATTTGCCCTCTCTTGACGGGACTGTTCTCCATCGCCATTCCTCTGGCAAGAGAAGAGAGCAAGAAACGAGAGCTGAGAGAAGGCCTACATTCTTTGAAACAACGCGCATTACCTTGCTCAGATCCAGCAAGAACCAGGAACTCCAATGCCAGATCCCGCGGAAGTCGCTGTTATTCTCGGGTGGCCGGCGCCATCGATCGAGCGAGCGTCGTGGTGCCCTGGCGCAACCCTCGGAAAAATGTGAAGAGGAAGAATTTTATTATTTTCAAAACCCTCCTAGGAATATCCTATTCCACGTCATCAATAGAATATCCATGAACAGCGGAAGGATATTCTACAGCATAGTTAGCGGAATATCCTGGTCAACAGAATATGGCTACTTATAGACAGAATATTCTTAAAGTTGATTGATTTTGTGCCTAGCTGAGGAGAAGCACGCCGCCATGGATCCACGCCACGGCCGAGAAACTAATGAGACCAGCCAAGAGCGTCACGAGAATGCTCAAGCAAGCGTACGCATAGCCACACCTCTTCCATCCCACTGCGCGACGCTCCAGCCAGTAAATCTCCGCTGCGAGCGTCGACACCGTGCTCATGCACCCCAGCATTCCAAATTGGATCCCTCCAGACACTAGCAGCAGCTGGTGATTCGATACCTGTGAGAGACAGAGCTCTCGGCTAGAAACTCGAAACGATCGAGAAACTCTGGAAGAACTTACCACCCCGAGGAGCTCCAGGATGTTGAGGACGAACTCGGCCAAGGAGGCAGTGACGTTGGCACACAGAGTCCCCGTTGGAAGCCAGCAGAGCCTTCCAGCGACGCCCCGGCCATTGAGATTGGAGAGCCACCAGCGGAGCCACACTCCCAGAGGAGCGAGCGTGCAAGCGATCCATAGCTTCTTCCTCCTGTAGTCGTTCTCGCGAAACAGCAGGAAGAAAGCCATCGTCCAGAGGCCAATGCTGAGGAACACAAAGAGGAGGAGCTGCGTCGTGTGCCTCCAGTAGAGCTTCTTCGGCTTCTTCGACTTTGAGGCTTCGGTGGTGGCATCATCCAGCTTGCATGCCAGGAGCAAGTTTGCGGAATCAATGCCGATGAGCAGAGACATCATAGCCAGCTCCATTCCTAGAAATTCTTTGGAGTTAGCTGAAGAACTCAACCGACTTACCCAGGAGAAAGCCCAACAATCCTCTCACCCAGCAGCCGGCGGTGATGATCCTCACCATGCTTTGCGACCACGACGCAAACGTGGTGATGCTTCCCATCAAACCGGTAGAAAGTCCCACCGCTAAGTGCTCGGAGAAGTGTGCTATCTCTTTCTTGAGCACAACTCCCACCCAGCCCATGAAGAAACATCCGAGCTAAAGAAGGAAAACAAAAGCCACCATAAGAACTCGAAAGAGAAAAGGGAAGATCTTTGGGTACCATATTGGCTGGAAGATCGATGAACAAAGCACTGCTTGTATCCGTAACTTGAGCTATGGTCGGGCCAAAGAGCTGCTCCAGTCCATACCTCAAGAGCACCTAGAAGCGCCACTCGCATTCTCAGTTCTTCTGGAGCAACGAAAGAAATCGCCAAAACTTACTCCAAGAATCCCAAATGTTGCCAGGTGGGCGAGCACCGACACCTGATCTAGCAGCACACACACCTCCCGATCCTGTCTAGACAAGCTTTAGCAACCTGCATTGCGATCCCGAGCGCAAGACGCACCTCTGCGAAGGCGTCCGCAGCCGCCATCTTCTCCACATCCTCCTCCATCGCGTGGATGGACTCAAGAGCCCTAAACTAAAAATGGAATCCGATCCAATCCGATCCAAGCAGATCAAGTCGAGCGAGCGAGCGATGCGAGCGAGAGATGGCGTTGGCGTGATGTGATGGAAGTGGCCAATCACGATCAAGTGTGGCTGTAGCGTGTGCGCGACGGTGGGAAGAGAATCAACAGATCGGGCCCGGGAATTCGATCAAAAGAGGAACGTTCAAGGGAAGATCCAGCACAGCTTAGTCGCGATTCCTTTTTCTTTTCCCTTTCCATGTCAAGCAAGCACCGAGCGTGCGATCCCGCGGGCCCCCATTTCAAAAATTCAGAACCCTAAACCCTAGAAAAACGATAAACCCTAAACCCTACCATATCACACCCAAATCGGTTAAGGAATTGTGGTGACACGTTGAGTTTCTAGAAGATCATCCAATTGACTTGCAACAAACAATGAAAGAGCCAAATTTCAGTATGATTTGAGGGTTTGACACTGGACCGGCAGCTGAGGGCCACTTCAACTGTGGGGCAACAAAATAGAAGGTTACAAGAGTTACACGTACCAGAGATCACAACACGTCCAAATAAATGCTTGGGCTCTCTTCCTTGGCGACGCATCACTGAGAAAGAGAGGTAAAAACAGGGTCGCTGAGGAACAAGATCGGAACGACACGATGATTCCTTCCTCCACTGCTTGGGCATGGACGTCTTTGGCAGGAGCTGCTGGAGTTTTCTGGCTTGCGGCGATTGTCTACTGGAGGTCATGGCGATTCCGAAAGCTCCAGAGGCTTCCACCTGGGAGTATGGGATGGCCGCTCATTGGCGAGCTGGTGCCATACGTGACAATTGCTCGCTCCGAGACTCCATTTCGCTTCACAAGAGAACGAGAGAGCAAGTAAGCTCATCGATTCTTAGCACCTTGGAAATTTACTCTTCTCTCTCGCAGTGAATTGATCGATTGCAATGCTACAGGTATGGACCAGTGTTCAAGACGAGCTTGGTGACGGGCAAGACTATCATGATCACTGATGTGGAGGGTGTCAAGTTTGTTCTCCACAACGAGGGTGTTCTCTTCGAGACGGGCTATCCCCAATCGCTCAAGGATGTCCTGGGCGAGCGCGCGATGCTCTTCCATCACGGTGACTTGCAAAAGAGAATGCACGCCATGCTAAAGAGGTTTGTGAGCTCCACGCCCCTCAAGAAGTATCTCACGCGAGAGATGGAACTCCTCACTAAGCAAGGCATGAGTACGTGGAGCAGAGGCCAAAGGATTCTTCTCCAGGACGAGATCCAAAGGGTTACTACCTGAACATTTTCTCTTAAGTTTGATCACAAATCCTTTCGTTTTTATTTCAGATCACCCACGACTTTTTGATGAAGCAATTGTTTGGATTGGAGCCTGGCAAGCTTTCCACAACCATATTGGAAGAGTTTAACACCCTCATGGCGGGGATCATTGGTGTTCCTATGATGATTCCAGGGACTCCATACTTCAAAGCAATGAGGGTACTCTTACATTTTTTTATATTTCAAAACTTTAAATTCTTCTTTCAAAATCAGGCAAGGGAGAAGCTGTCCCAGATTATAATGGATATGGTGGCTGCTCGAAGGGCCAGACCAGACATAGAACACAAAGACATCCTCAACGCATTGATCGAAGAAGTGAAAGAAGAAGATGGTGATGTGGAGAAGATTATAATCGACAATGTTTTGGTCAACATTGCAAATGCAGAGGGTATTCCGGCAATCGTCATTGCTTTGGCTGTGAAAAACTTATCAGAAACTCCCAAAGCACTCGAGCACATCAGAGTAAGAAAATTCCATTTCCAAGCTTCTCTAGATCCTTAACTTTCCAGAATCTCTAATGCAGGAAGAGAACCTTGCAATCAAGAGGGGAAAAGATTCGAATGAAGGCCTTTCTTGGAATGAATACATGTCTTTAGAGTTCACCCAAGCTGTAAGTTTTTTTCTCTTTAAATTTTGTATTGATAAAGAATTCAGGTTTTTAACGAGACACTTCGTCTTGCCAATGGAGCTCAAGGAGTAATGCGGAAAGCCCTCAAAGACGTGGAATATAGAGGTAATTCACAATTTAAGAATCCACTAGTCTAACACTCCATGGAAATTCATTCAAGGTTACATAATCCCCAAGGGCTGGACAGTGCTTCCTTATTTTCTCAACATCCACTTCGATGAAAATATGTTTCCAAATCCAACTAAGTTCCACCCATGGCGCTGGCTAGAGGTAAATATTATGATTTCTCACAAACTACGTTTTATTCTCCTACTTATCAGAAAAACATTCCATCAACTTACGTGCTTCCTTTTGGTGGTGGGTCGAGATTGTGTCCGGGCCAAGAGCTTGCTAAAGTCCAGACTGCAGTGTTTCTTCACCATTTGGTCACCCAGTTCAAGTATAATTTATCTTTTCTGGTTAAACATTTCATTAACAACATAATGTATTGAACAGATGGGATGCAGAGCCAGAAACAGTGATCAACTTTCCGAAGATCAGCACCAGAAACCACACCCCAGTTGTGCTGTACGATCTACACTAATTAGCCAGACCAAATAAACGTATGAGAAACATTCCAAGAGATCACAGTAAGAAGATGTAACTCCTGGATATGGACATGTAGCTCGCTTTACCCTATTGGCGGCCATGATTTTGAGGTGCGCATTGACGAAAAGAGGGTCCTCTACGTGAGGAAACTACCTGGTTTGGACAAATTCCTCCGTAGCATGACCCAGTTCACTAACTTGTTACGCGAATTAAGTCATTGACAAGATTGATCTGTGGGGCAATTTAATTGCACACAGGTTGTTTATGGACTCATGTACCAAGGTTTTGGACCACCAACAACAAGGTGGTGATCAAAGTGAAGAAGATGATTTTTATGTCAAAGACTTGAATGTTCTTGTGTCATGGTTGATGATTGTGAGGACAATTTCCGGAATAATCAGAGGAATGGGACTGCTGTAAGGTTCTTTGAGGACGACTTAAAGGACACTTAGAAAGATCTGTATCTCTCAAGACGTAAGAAGTGCCTTGAGGCCAATTTTTTTTTGGCGTGAGTTATAGGGTAAAATAGTGACGGTCGTCAAGTTTGGAGAGCAAGTGCACGAAAGCACTCTCCCAAGAGAACCCACAACACAAGGCAGAAATACTGCAGGTAATTCAGAGAGACCGAGTGCATGGATCCGGACTGATTTCTTTTCTCATCTCGCAGGAGCTTCGCAATATCAGGGTAGAGCTCCAGAAGGACAACGAGATCAAAAAGCGCTTCCATGATAATCTAATGTGGGTCTTGGGACTTATGTAGCATTGTGAGTGATTGCGACTTTGACGGATTATGTCAGTGACTTTCAGGTTCCGATCTCTACATGTTCTTCTTTTTATATGAAGCATGCATACATCCAATGAAAAAAACATGTGTTCCTCTAATCTTCATCTGCTTATTCTAAGTACAAGAAACGAAAGGGGAACGTCAAGGTCTATGATAAGCTCTGAGGGAAGTATGCCGCAAGCAGGCGCTTTGCACCGGGTGAAACTTAACATTCATTCTTTCTAGTAAGCAGTATGTCTCCCCGAAGAAGTAGCCAAGCTGAAAGAGCTCGGTGACACGTCCGAGACATATGCAAAGCGAAAGAGCTCGTTTTCTAAGTCTTGGTCACGCTTTTGTTACAAAGTGACTCTCTTTCTTCTTTCTTATCGCTTTGAGTGTGGGCTCAGTGAAGTGTCGCAGAAATGCAAGCAAAGGTACTACTGAATTTTGTTTTTTCACTTTCCGTATTCTGTTTTCGAGTGTAAATGCTTTCATGCGCTTTGGCTATAGTGCTTATAAGTACAAGAGACAAAGAGGGAGGGGGTTTCTAGCGTCTCCACTATCATAACGTCCAAGCGAAGAAAAGGTCTGTGCTGCTATAGCGTTTGACAGAGGTGATCTTTGATCTTTAGAGGCGAGCCAGCCGGCCATCCGTTGTCAAAGATATGTTTCAAGCGTCAGTGGCTTCCGAATCTGGGCTGCTGTCTTGAACCTTACGCCGATTCCTGCAGCAAAGCTCGGACAGGGATCACCTCGACAACACTCAAAAGAAAACGAGAGGCAAGGCATCAAACCGTACTTGTGGAATGACGACGACAAGGCGGCCCAGCTCCGACTGTTCATGAAAGGGAGAGCTACCAAGTAGACGATAAAAGCCGCGTAGAGACAGATGAGAATTCCCACGAGCAGCAGGATCAATATGGATCGGATCGCACTGTGGAGCAGAAACACAGCTAATAGATAAAAGTTGATGACGACAACGAGTAGCGCAATCAGACCCGCGGCAGCCTGCACGACCACGCATCATGCGTCAAACAGGAGAAGACGTAAGAATCCAACCTTGAGGAGGCCACCGATTCTAAACGACCCCATGATCCGCTCGTTGTCAACGAAAGTTAGCAGCGGGATGAGAGCAAACGGAAGCTGGATGGACTGGAGAACGTTGAGCCACTCGTTGAGCTGGTCGAGCTCGTTGTCGGAGCTGTCGAATGCTAGAGCGACGATGATTGTCGGAACGATGGCCACGCTGCGAGTTACCATGACTCGGATCCACTTCCGGATACGCAGGTTGAGGAAGCCGGCCATGACGAACTGTCCGGTGTAGGTGCTGGTCATGGTGCTGCTCTGCCCGGCCGCGAGGAGGCCCGCGGCCCAGATATACTTGATGGGGAAGTTGGAGCCGCCGTAGGCATGCTGGAGGTACTCACCAGCGTTGGCGAGGCCGATGTGTTGAGCGCCGGGCTTGCCGTAGAAGCTCTTGGCGAAGACGGACATGATGAAGACGTTGATGAGGAAGGAGATGACGATGGCGATGGTGGACTCGATGGAGTAGTAGCGGAGAGCGTCGCGGACGTGGACCTTGTTGCTCGTGTCGATGGCCCGGGACTGGACGAGGGCCGAGTGGAGGAAGATGTTGTGGGGCATGATGACGCAGCCGACGATCCCGACGGCCTTGTCGATCGCGTTTGCTGGGACTCTGGGGATCACCAGTCCTGATCGCCATCCAGGGAAAGAGATGAGAAGCGAAGCTTGCCACCTAGAAGAACTAGAACTCTAGCGAAGAACTACTTGAAGAACTCTAAAGAAGAACTCGAGAGAACTCTAGCGAAGAACTCCAGAGAAGCACACGTAGAACTCGAGGAACTCTAGCGAATTCCAAGAAGAAGAAGTAGTACGTACCGGAGATGATGGCATTGGAGCTGGGCTGGGCTTCTCCAAAAACTCCCGCGAAGGACAGTCCCATGATCAAGATGAGGACAGCAAACAGGGCCTCGAGCTTGCGCACGCCAAAATTCTCGAGGAAGAGGAACAAGAAGCTGCGCAGGAAAATCTGTGAAGCCTCGAGAGATCGATCCAGCAAAGAGGACAAGGAAGAAAGAAGGAAAATCTCTTCTTTTTTCTTCTTTCTTACCCGTAGATCCCAGTCATGAGCACTCCAGCCCAGAGGTGGATGTATCCCCGGGACAAGATCTTAAACGCGATAGCGCTGCCAATCACTTCCTGGATATCGGCCCCGATGATCGCGACCTCGGTCATGATCCATAGTACGATCTTGGTGCTGGACGGGTACTCTTCCCGGCAGAGCTCGGCGAGATGGGATCCAGTGGCGACGCCGAGGCGTGCGGCCAGGAGCTGGATCAAGAGGCCCATGGCGTGGCGAGGAGGAGGAGCCAGAGGAGGTAGTAGCCCGCCTGGGCGCCCACCTGGAGATCGCTCTCGATGTTTCCCGGGTCCAGGTACGCAATGCTCATCAGGAATCCCGGCCCCATGAAGATCCACAGCTTGCGCCACGAGAAATTGGGCTGCTCGCCATCGCCCTGGCCGCCAGGATCGACATCACCGACGCGCACGAGCTCCGATTTCTCGTACGCGCGCTCCTCTGCTGCTGGAGCGTCGTTGCGCGCCCGGAATTGCGATAGCAAAGGAGCGCTCTCGTCTCCCATTGCGCGAGCAGTAAAACCCTATCTTTTCCTCCACTCTGTTTTACATTCCAAGAATATTCCTATTTATAAAAACTTTATCCGTAGCTCAGAGGAATCGAGCCTGTGACCAAACTATTCTAAGGAATATCTGATATTTTCAAAATTTACGTGCGAAGACTTTTGTCTCGCATTGAATGTCCATTGATCGGCAATTGACACGGCTCCCAGTGGAAGAAATCCATATGATCAAGTTCTCCTCCACGATTGGTGAAGTTATTTGAACTGGAGCTTGGGCAATGGTGGTGAGAAGTTCTTGAGCCTCAAAGCCCAATCCTCCACGATGCAGCAAATCCACAATGCAGTAGTAGTGCTGGATCGTGGGCGCCGCGAAGAAATCGCCACTGATCGACAAGAAGCAAACTCTCGCGCGCTTAGATTCGCCCCTCCGGCTGCACGAGATCAGGCAAGAGGTGAAGCAGCTCTCGTCTGGATCCATTCCTTCCACCGCCATCGCTCCAAACAGATCGCCCAGCGCTACTCGCGATTCTCTGGCTGTGGCGTGTGCTCCAAGCACCGCGCTCCATGCTATGGCGTCTCTCTCGGGCATTCGATCGAAGAGTTTGCTAGCAGTATGCAACTCCCCATTCCGGGCATTTGCTAAGAGAATCGCTGTCCACGAAACTCCATCTCTGATTGGCATTGAATCAAAAAACGATTGGGCGCTGGCAACATCACCCATCGCTCCCCATCCGCCAAGAAGCGTATTCCACGCAAAAATATCGCTCTCAGGCATCGCATCAAAGAGATTCTTGGCTTGATCTAAATGCCCGTTCCGGGCATATCCTGCTAGCATCGCATTCCACGTGTACGGGTGCCTTTCCGGCATGCTATCAAACAGCGCCACCGCGGCATCCAGGATGTTGTTGGCGACGTAGGCTGCCAGCAAGGCCGTCCACGTCACCTGGTCACGCTCTGCCATGTCAGCGAACACTCTCCCAGCATCATCAAGATGCCCAGCCCGGGCATATGTAGTAAGCATTACATTCCAGGTGACTAGATCACGCTCGAGCATCTTCTCAAAGATTCTTTTACACTCGTCTATAAGACCTAGTTGCGAGTAGCCATTCAGTATGGTGTTCCAGCTGACGAGATCGAGCTGCTCTTGCTGCCCACGAATTTCTTCCAGGATTTGCTCGAATCGATCCAAATCTCCAGCATCAGCGCACGCAGCTGCCATGGCCGTGCACGAGGCGAGATCGTGCCGCGGCATTGCCAAGAACATCGATCGCGCTTCCTGGAATTGGCGCCTATGGATTTGGGCGGAGATTACTACCGTCCAGGAGACCACATCTCGCAGAGGCATCGCATAGAACAGACACAGGACCTGGTAGAGATGCCCGTGCTGCGCGAACAGCGAGAGCATCGAATTCCAAGCGATGAGATTGTGATGGGGCATCTGATCGAAGAATCGCTTGCCCTGCTCGACATCGCCGATCCGGATGTGCATTGCCAGCATCGAGTTCCAAGACGCCAGATCACGCTCTGGCATCGCTTCAAACAAATGAGTAGCTTCTTCCAGATGCCCGAGATCGGCATATGCGGACAATATCGAGTTCCAAGAGATCAAATTCCGCTCCGGAATGTAATAGACGAAGAGGACCCTCGCCTTTTCCAGATTCCGGGTTTGGATGTACGCTGCCAGTATCGCATTGTAGGAGACGATATTCCGGCCAGGCATAATGGTCAGGAGATCTTCCGCATCGGAAAGATGGCCGAATTGGCCATATGCGGTCAGGATTGTGTTGTACGAGATCACATCTCTTTCCGCCATGGAATTGAACAGCAAGTGAGCTTTCGCTATTTGGCCATTCTGGGTATATGCAGCAAGCATGGCATTCCATGACACGAGATTCCACCCTGGAATCTTATCAAACATCCTGGCCGCTACATCCAGGTTGCCATTCTGTGCGTATGCGTTTAGGATTGACGTCCACGATACGACATTCCGTTCTGGAAGAGAATCAAAGATCTTTCTCGCCTTCTCAAGATCCCCGCTTCTGGCATAAGCAACAAGCACAGTGTTCCAGGAGATCAAATCTCGCAGCGGCATTTCAGCGAATACCATTTCTGCTCGGTGGAGATTACCGCTCGCTGCATACGCAGCAATCATCTCTGTGCAGGAGAAGCAATTCCATTCTGGCATCGCGCGAAAGACTTCCTCCGCGCGGCCCAGATCGCCGTTCCGGCCATACGCAGAGAGGAGGAGCGTCCAAGAGAAGAAGTTCCTGTGGCGGATGGAATCGAAGATCTCGCGCGCGCGCTGTAAGCTCCCGAATTTTCCATACATCTCGATGAGACGATTGGACAGAAACGTGTCGCAATCCCTGCCAGAGAATAGCACCTGCGATGCCACATCGATTTCTTTTGCCCTCGAGTAGCAATGGCAGCTCTTGATGAGCTGCAGACACTCTTCTCTGCCCATACAAAGATGAGCTCCACATTTCTTTTTGTGACTTTAGTTACCAAAAGTTTCCCAATAGAAAATATCAATGGGAAGATCACAATCACTTTCTGTTTTTTAGATAATAATAATAATATTAGAAATATTGTTAGGTTTTTCTACTACTACTATATATATTTTATTTCAATAAATATAATTTAGAGTAATTATTTTATATATATATATATATATATATATATATATATATATATATACATTTATGAAATTATAATAGTGTTCAAAATTATGTTCATTGTAAGTGACTAATTTTTCCATTTTACTTTAGTCACTTAACCACACCTTTGACCATTTGGAAAAGTCTCACTCACAATTTCCATAAGTTCTATTCCAGACTTGGGTATGCTAGCTTTGAGAATGGCATCCCCACCACTCAACCTTTGCACTTGACCAAAATGCTCTATGTATCTGATCCCATGACCAACACCCCAAGGTACCACCGACATATTAGCCCGTTACATTAAGGCCATGCCTCTTTACTTTGGTCACACCAGTGGTCTAACACCATTTGCATCACAGTTCTGTCTCTTAAAGACTGGGCCATCCATCCATGAGTGATCATCTCAGATCCACTCTTTAGCATCTTTAGGATGTCTGTAGGCATGGGGAATAGCCTTCCTCAATATCCCTTTTCCAATCCTCAACAAGACCCTTTCTGTCTATGGCCGTGTTGGCTAACACTGCCATTGAATCAAGGCCCATATGCCCAACTAGTAAGTCCCATAGTCCTCTGGGATTTCCTCCTCCCATGACCATATCCTTGGTATCTACACCAGAGGATTGCTCCCCTTCTTTTTCACAATCTAGGACTTTAGGACAACATTTCGAAACACTGTGGCCTTACGCAAGCCTCGTGGGTACTCTCCCCACCTTCCGCCTTTGGGTGCTCTAGCCATGGGCTTAGAGCGAGGTTCCGTTGAGCCATGCCAGGTATCCAAGTAAGTAGTGCCACCCATACTTGGACTGGGAGCATCGACCATTTGATCTCTCGGGGGAACTATAGCCGGCTCTTGAACATTTCACCAAGCTACCCTGCTTGTTGGTTTGTATTCACTCTAGTTTTGGACTTCCCAATGGTTATCCCATCACCCAACACTTGGGTATGGGCTTTTTGGGCCAAACTGGTTTTTCCTGGCCAAACTGGCTCCACTAAAGTCCTCCCCTTTACTATACTTTTGGAGCTCACCAAACCCCCCAGGGTCTGGGAGACGAACGCTTTGGGCTTTTATGCTCTTAGACTCGAACTCGGACTCAAACTCAGACTCGGACTCAGATTCAGACTCAGACTTGGGTTGGGTTGGGTCTCGGCCTCGGTCTCGGTCTTAGTCCCAATCCCGGTCCCGGTCTTGGTCTCGGTCTCGACTTTGGACTCCATCTCGGGTCCTTCTAGAACTTCATCTTGGATTCCATCTCAGGTCCATCTTAGACTCCATCTTAGGTCTATCTCGAACTCCATCTTGGACTCCATTTCGGTCTATCTTGGACTCCATTTCAGACTCCATTTCAGACTCCATCTTCGTTCCATCTCGGACTCCATCTCGGGTCCATCTCGAACTCCATCTTGGTCCATCTTGGACTCCATCTTGGGTCTATCTTGGACTCTATCTCAGTCCATCTCAGACTCCGTCTTGGGTCCATCTCGGGTCTATCTCGGACTCCATCTCGAGTCCATCTCGAACTCCCTTTTCTAGATACTCTCTTATGGCTCACTTTACGCTTGTTCCTTGAGCACTTCGTTGGGAATTCCAATCCTGCTCTTGACCTTTCAAGTCATAGCTTTTAATCCAAATGTGTTACATTTGTTTTGCTTTTGCTTTGGCCATTACCACATAGCACCTTTTTGGCTCCACTTTGGGACTTAAGGATTTTTATCTCACATTCATAAGCTAAAATTTACTCCAAAGATTCATGTAGTTAAAGTTTGATAATTGTGAACTTTATTACATTTGTTAAAATATTTAAATCCTCAATTATCAAGATTTAATTTTTTTTTACATTTAGATAAAGTATATAAGTGTAACTTAGTATTGCTAAAGATAAAAAAATTAGATCATTAAAGTATTTTACCTTGAATTGTTTTTAAAGTAATATTATGTATGCAACAAATGTTAATGTTGTATTACTTTTTGCAATTATGGTTTTCAATATTGTTAAATCCCTTTCACTCAAATATTATAGTATATTTATGACAACTTCTAAATTAAAAATGCCATATGTTTATAACAAGGATTATATTTATAATGATGATATTGTTATATATTTTTATTACTTATAATATTTAAATATAATATTAAAGATTTAATGAAATTAATTTCAATCTTTTACACATTTTACTAAAAATTTTGCTAGCCAATTAGCAATAAAAATGATAATTAATTCTAATTTTCTAATTTTAACACTTCTTTTTATTTCATTTGTTAAAGTACTACACACTTTTTATGGGCTGATCCTTGCTTGTTAAGCTAATCAAACCTTTGAATGCTATCTGATAAAAAATAATTATATATGACAAGTCTTTTTAGTTACAAAGGAATTAAATACTTTTCCAAATTCTTATTTTGATTTGCTAAAATTATTTTCAAAGTTATATCTTCAACACTTTTTTTCTTCACAAGTTTATTGAATATACATAAATTTAACACTACAATTTAATTTTAAATTATTTCTTTGTTTTTAAAAAGAATATGAAAGTACTTGTCTTCAAAGTACATGTAAAAAGATTATCCATTTATCAGCTTTATATCTTCTTTTGCGATTATGAATTCTTTTAATAAGTGTTATTTCATTGAATAACTTTCGTTTTGATACATTCCCATCATTATCATCAAATATGTAAACTAATTTTTAAAACATTACTAAAATATTTAATAATATTGAGAATATGAATATGTTAAACACTTATTTGATTAGTGAATTAAATAATTATTTTAATGGACTCAAGCAGACTCATAAATGCTTATTAAAAGTTTATATATGGCCATTACTCTTGGGGTAGTTGCCCATTTTGGGTAATAACAGCCTTACTCAGGTTATTAATAAATTATATACATTTTCAAAAAATTTATATATTATTTATTTTTCTAAGCATATTTAATAGCATATTTGATCTATTAAAACTAACCAACTTCTAATATATTAGAACTTAATTATTTATTATTCTCTCATAAAACTTTGCCACTTTGCAGCAAGTTTTCTTGAGAGCAATCTGGCCCTCTCTCGAATTCCCTTCAAAAGAATAAATCCTAGTTCGCCCACCAGGCCTACACGGCACACCACAGTATTGACATCCAACTCGCAAAAGCTTGAAGCTCATCTCGTTCTGCCATCCCCCGTTGCTGTCACCAAATCGGCTGCGTCGCCACCGCCTTGCCTGCGAGGTCGATGAGCGAATCTAAGAATCAGATCCTTGAATTTTATCGTGTCAAGAATGGGGAAGTCCTGGCTGCGTCGGCGTGCCCGGAGAGGATGAACTCGGATGGAGACGAAGACCGATACAATCTCGATGAGGTGATTGGAGAGAAAGGTGTCGCAATCCCTGCCATGAAAGCGTTGCCGCATCAATCTCATTCGCCCTCATTGCAACTCTTGATAAGCTCCTCCCTAGAATCCCAAGAAAAGAGAATATCAAGAACTTAGCTGCCATCGCTAGCAAAAACTCTGGAGAGCGAAAGATAAGCCGAAGAATCGTTGGAATCCACGTCCAGGAGAGCCATTGCAGCTCGAGCTTCGCGAATGGGATCGTTGTAAATCCTCGACGCGCTCACCAGGCTCGCTAGCGCAACATCACTGGGCGAAAATGGCATGGAATCGATCAAATCCTCCGCAGCTTGGAGCTTCCCAGCGCGGCCGAGCGCATCAACCAAGCAGCAGTAGTGCTCCACCAGAGGTGTCAGCTCAAAATCGAGAATCAGAGTAACGAAATAGTTCCGGGCCTCGCGAACAAGCCCGATGTGGCTGCAAGCCACCAAAACACTCGAAAACGTCATCTCGTCAATGCGAAAGCCATGAAGAACCATGTCGTGAAAGATTCCATGGGCCTCTTGCGGATACCCCTTGTGGGCATATGCCGCGATCATAAGATTCCAAGAGATTATATTCCTCTCCGGAGTATCATCGAAGTAAAGCCTAGCTTTCTCAACGTTTCCAACCTCACCATAGACAAATATCATGATGTTCCATGACACGAGATTCCTCTCGGGTATCTTCTCAAACAAGTCCTTGGCCAAGGGAATATCCCCGTTCTGGGCATATGCTGTGTACATGGCATTCCAGGTGACGAGATTCTTGCCAGGCATGGTCGCGAATATCCTCTTGGCATCTTCCAGATCCCCTTCTCTAGATGCGGCCGTTAGCATCGCAGTGTAGGAGTAAACGTTCCTTCTTTCCGGGTTGGACGAGAACATTCGCTGGGCCTCGTGGTAATGGCCATTCTCCGCGTATCCGACGATCATGGCCGTCCAGCTCACCACATCCCAGCCGCTCATTCGCGCAAACACGGCCTTGGCCTCCTCGAGGCGGGAATTTTGAATGTAGCTCTGGAGCATGGACGTCCAGGATACAACGCAGCGATCCAACGGCGTGGAATCGAAGAGGGCTTTGGCGTCCGGGAGGGAGGAAGGGCTCTTGGCCATGGCTTGGGTCATGGCGGTCCAGGAGACGATGTCGAATTGGGGCTGCCGGTAGAAGATCGATTGCGCCTCTTCGATCCGGCCGCCTTGCGCGTAGGCGGATGCAAGGGCAGTGTAGGACAGGAGATCGCGGTTCTTCATCGAGTCGAAGACGATCTTGCCTTGATCGATCTGGCCGTGGCGCAGGTAGCCGTGGAGCATCAGCGTCCAGGCGATGTCGTCCTTCTCCGGCATTGCGTCGAAGATCGCCTTTGCGGCTTCCAGATGCCCTCCCAGCACGTATTCTTTGAAGATCGTCGTCCAGGAGATGATTCCCCAGAAGGGCATTCGATCGAGAAAGCGTCTGGATTCGTGGAGGAGGCCGCCCAGGGCGTAGGCTCGGATCATGATATTCCAGGTGATATCGTCCTTCTGGGGCATGGCATCGAAGAGAGATTTCGTCTCCTCTGGATTCCCAGTGTGGGCAAATGCCGTCAAGAGCGCGTTCCACAGCACGATGTCCGTCCCCGGCACAAGAAAGAAGAGATTTTTGGCGTCCTGGATGGCGCCGCCGTGGATGCATCCAGTGATCATGTTGTTCCAGGTGAAGACGTTGCGAGATCTCATCCGGTGGAAGGTCTTCCAGGCATTCTCCACGCTGCCGCATTTGCCGTAGCTGAGGAGCAGGAGATTGGTGAGATAGGTGTCGTCGCGGAAGCCATTCTCGATGAGCTTGGCGTGCGCGGCGCGGCATTCTGCCAGGCTCTTGATATTTCGGGTGATCGTCGCGAGAAATCTTCGATCCAAGCTCATGCGCTACCTCCTAGGGTTTGGACGATGCAGCGATGGATCCCCGGCGAGACGCGAGAGCTCCACGCGCGGTGGAAGCGCAAGGCGCTACAGGTATGGCGCAAGAGCCTCTACCTGGATCGTGTGGTGCGGTGGGACGAGCTGATCTACTCGGAGATCCCCAGAGCCATGGAATTCGTCCAGAGCCAGGGCGGGAGGATCGACATCAAGAGAATGCCGGCGGAGATGGACGAGGTGAGCAAGAGGAGGATGAGCAAGCTCCTTCGCAAGCACGCCGCGGTGTTTAAGCTCACGTACAAGCACCACAGGACCCAGGAGTGGATCGAGCTCAGGGATTTCATGCAAGAGATCATGGAGGCCGAGAGGCAGGCGATCCGGGACAGGGATGAGAAGCTGTCGGTGTCCATCGTGAAGAAAATCTTGATGATGTGCAAGGATCGCAGGGCGCCAGTGACTCCGCTCAAGAACTTGAGCAAAGAGTGTGCCTTCCCTGTGGATTTTGATGGTTTTCTCCGGAGGTATCCGGAGGATTTCCGGCTAGTCGGGGGATCCAGAATGGTGGAGCTCGTTTCGTGGGATCAGTCGCTAGCCGTGACTGACAGAGAAAGGGCTGTGGAGGCAGGAAGAACGCAAAGAATTCTCGGCCCTTGGGCGTTCGTGAGTACGTTTCCAAAGAAGTTCGAGGCGGACAGGATTTTCTGGGAGGAATTCGACAAGTTCCAAAGACTTCCAATGCCGTCACCTTACGAAGACCCCGGCAACTCGGCAGATCCAAGCAGTCTGTCTGGAGAGAAGAGACTCCTGGCAGTCTTTCACGAGCTACTCAGCCTCACGATCGAGAAGAGAGCATCTCTTGCAAAGTTCAAAGGATTCAAGCAGGAGTTGCGGCTGCCAGAGTACTCAGACGCTCTGCTTGCGAGCCACCCACGGTTTTTCTACGTCTCAGAGAGCAACTCACGCCAGATGGCGTTTCTCCGCGAAGCTTACCGGGAGAACGATCGGGTGTCCGTGACAAGAGTAAAGGATCCGCTGGTTACTATAAGGAATCGATACATGGGCCTGCTAAGGGTGGAGTTCAGGGAGCCGCGGGTGAAAAGGCCTTGTGTATTTAGCACAGATGAAAGCGATAACGAGGTAAGTTGTTGCTCTATATGTTTTCTATCTCATCTTCTGGTTTGTTTGGCCGTTTGCAGGATTGTGACACAGACGCCGCAGATATACCATGAATCGTGGAAGGAGAAAGCGCTCACAAGAGACAGACACTGATCGTTTGAGAAGGTATGTTGCTTATTTCTCGTTTTCCTTTGCGGGCAGTGATGACGAGGTCTCTAGATGTTTTCTATCTCACCTTTTCGTTTCTTTGGCCTTTGCAGGAATGTGACAAGACGCCGCGTGGAAGCAGGCATGCGCTCACACGTTGATCGTTTTTCCGGTCATGGGAAGGTATGTTGCTCTTCCTTTGCTGCGAGCAGTGATTGACGTTTGTTGGTTATAGAAAGCCAAAGCCGCGAGCTCCAAACCTGTTCTTGGAGTGACATCTCTTCGTTACCAAATGACCATTTCAATGCCGCTCGGCGAGAAACTGAGGTTAGTCGCAACCGGTTTCTAATCTTTTAATTTGGAGATTGTGACAAGGATGATGCAACTTACACTGCCTTGCAGACCGCCCCATTGTGACAGATTCAAGACCACTTGAAAGCATACAACTTCACAGGATAGGATCGAATCAACGTAGGATAGTGCGATAAGTTCTACATAGCGAAAGAAGAGGACAGTCCCAGCTACATCGTGACACCAGGTAGTCGCAAACATCCTTGTGCCAAAACTCCATCACCGATTCCCAGAGGCTGGGAACTCGTTTGGGCAGTGCCACCCTCAGCAAGCCATCGCCAGTCAAGTTGTAGCTCGCCCTGTCCTCCACATACCTGTGAGGGAAGTAAAGCCTGCGAGCAAACACTTTGGTGCTCGCTCCTCCGCGCTCCAGCCTCACTGCGTGGCCGCCATCCTCGTCCCGAGCAACGCCGGCTATGGATGCGATGCAACCAGTCCCTTGCGCTTCTCCCATCAGCTTCAAGAACCCGTCGCGCTCCATCATGCCCCGGATCTCCCGAGCTGCTGCTGCTGCTTCTTCGCCATCTTTTCCTCCTCCCCCGGACGAGCAAGTGACTTCCACCTGAGCCGACTGCGCGCCAGGCATCTCCGCGACGATCACGTACGAATCCGGGAGCTCCAAGATGTCCACCAGTGGCGACACTGTGATCACGCTCGGGTCATGGACGCAAGCACCAACTTTGGTGGCAACGAGAGCTTCCGGTCGGACGAGTCGATCAGCGTTTTCGATGGTGTGGCCCATGGGCGGAGCTCGCAGCCCACGAGCCGTGGAATGAGCCTCATCACTCCGAGGCTCCAGCTCCACCAAGTCTTGTACTAGCTCGGATCCTGGAACAAGCGGCACCGTCACCCGCAAGAGACCATTCTCAATCCGGTGGCTGATCCTGGCCGCGTCGGCGTGCCCGGGGAGGATGAACTTGCGAGCAAACAGCTTGGTGAAAGCACCGCGATCACGGACGGAGAACTCGGCTGGCTCCTGGTCGTGGGAGACGCCAGCGATGGAGAGAAGATGAGAGCCCTCTACTGCTTCCACCTTGATTGATACGTCGCTGCTCGCCACTCCTGGCATCTCCACCAGGATGAGATACGCGCCTTGGAGGCGCACCACGTCGGTGGGAGGAGCCGTCACGACCGTGTCGCCGATGGCGCAAAGGAACGACATCATTGCGTCCTCTACCTCGGCTGTGGCGTTGGAGGAGCTCCCGCAGCCCCGCGCGTGGACGGAAAGGCCATGCTTGCACGCCGCCACCGCTGCCGTGAAGAGCGCCAACAGCAATAGCGCCCTTCTCATCTTACCCTACATCAAGAGCTTAGCAATTAGGATTATTATAGAAAACGATCGATCAAACCTTACAAAAAGGATTCCAAGTCCTTAAGCTTTCAGGAAAGGTGTAGGAAAAAACAAGAAAACACGTACCGGCGGCTTGGAAGCTTGTATTACCGAGAAATCTGAGTTCCACTAGATCGATCCTACACAGCCAGCCGTGATAGAAGAAAAGATTACCCACTGTAAACTTGCGAACTTGGATCCCGTCAGTTGGCGAGAAAGCAGCAGCGTCCATTTTTCCCCACCTCAGCCTCGAGAGTTTCTTATTTTGTTGGGAGCCCTTGACTTGGATCAGTGGTCGCTTCGCCACCATAAACTCCCTCCTCTTAGGACTCCTGCATGACAAGAAAGGCAACACTTTCCACAGCAAGACGTTTAGATATGCACCTGCCATTTTGCAACGGGTGCTCCCGCCTCATCCATGAATCCTGTGCACCATTTTGACACTGTCAATTAAGACAAAAGCAAAAGAGAACTCGTCCAACCAAAAACTCACCTTCGACAATGTAGCACCTAATGTAGACTCTCCTGTGTTTAAATGATTCTCGATATCGTTCAGATTAAAAGCAGGTCGCAAGAAGTTTAAATCTGCCTGACCAGTAAAACGCAGAAACATGCCACTCACCTGGAGTTTTAGCCGTTCTAGTACCAGTATTTTTCAGACTGCTCTATACTCTGCAATGAACATCGAAAACAAACATACCAGTGATTGCCTCTGTCTTTCTCACGCAGCTTTATTACACTGCCAAAAGAACAAAAACCAAAAAGAAAAAACGTTATAACTCTACAATGCTATCTAATGGAAAAGGTTTTGTTGATCCGATTGCCATAGTTGAGTTGGGCCATTTCAAACCTTCTAGAAGCTTCTTGTATGTTGCATTACCACGGAGGAGGAGGTAGTTAAGGTGTGTCGTGAAAAAACTTCGCTTCATAATCTCCGACTGCAATGTATATTCGTAAGTAACCAACAGGACTTCCAATCACAAACATACATAACCAGTAGTCTCGTTGTCAAGGCATGCGGACAGTGAAACGACTGAGCTTCCAAAGAGCGTTTTCGTTAGCAATGTTGGAATAGGCCGAAGGGTTGCGGTTTTCCAGCCTGAACCTGCCAAGAAATCTCTTGAGCAGAATTTTCTTAAGAATAGTTCAAGTACCTGTGTTCTGAAAAGGAAGGTCCAATGCTGTGCCACTGTGGCAGGCGTTGAAGATTGCTGTAAGCTTTACAACCTCTCCAATGCCTAACACCATTATGTCGTGAAGTATATCATCTAATAGATACTGAAAGGAACAAAATTAAAATTTAGAAGAAAAAGACTTACTCCATCCTTCACGACAAATCTTTCATCGAAGTTATCCATTTCATCGTGATCAAAATCAGTTATATTGCCTCCGTGACCTACCATCAAAAAAGAAATTCACGGAAAAGGCCATAAAACGAAAGACACATACCACAGAAGTAGAAAAGCAGTTGATCTCCAGGATTTGTGTTCGCCATAAGCTGTCGTATTGCTTTCAACGATTCACTCCTCGATGGAACTTTAACAAAGTACAATCTTAGAACTAGTTAGCAACAAAATAGCAAACCTTGAAGGATATCAAATCGGCGATAATCATATTCCATCGATATGAGACGCGACATTAGATCTACATCCAATGCACAACCGGGAAACCCGGCAATCAACAACGCCTTTTTCAACCCCTTCTCGTTCATCAAGGTTGGTGGAAAAGCTAAGTCGGTGCCAGTTTTGCAGTTGAAATAGTTCTGAAAGGTTGTCAAATGTGCTTCTCCGGGATTGAAAGCCACTGTTAGAGCAATCAGTAAGATTATCCCTGATACCAAACTATTAGAAAACGAATTGGTTTACACACCCAATGTTAATACCTTTCAAATCTCCTCTAACATCCCAGAAGTAAGATTGAGGTCGGGAGCCCCTGCAGCCCCGATTAGTCGTCACACAAATTCTTCAAAATAAGAAAAGCTTACAAACCTTACACCGTTTATGCCAGCTCCAAGAACAGGCATAATCCGATGGACGAGATGGAGGAGCTCTTGAAACATTGCATGAGTTCTCCTGCAACACCGAGAATTAATCATCAACAATAAGCTTTCCAGCAAAAGAAACAGGCTTTTACCTTGCACCGAGTCCAAGAACAAGCAAGAGAAGTTGAAATATCAAAGAAATTCTCCTGCAACACCTATTAAGCAAGCCTTCCAGCACAAGAAACAAGCTTACCTTGCACCGCAGCTGCTGAAAGAAGGATCGGCTGGGCCAGACCGAGCAGATCGCGGAAAATCACGTAAGTTCTCCTGCATCAACGATTCATCGTCAACAATATCCTTCCAAGAAATAAGCTTACCTTGCGAGTCCAGTAACAGGCGGGATCGGGACCAGATCCTGACAGATCGGGCAGCTTCTCCTGCAATCATCAACAATATCGGTATGAAATGCGATTTCGACTTGAAATCCCCCGGAAACACCATGGGAGAAGAACGACGCTCTACCGCTACCGTAATATGCAAGGAAATGCGGCGATCCGAGAAAGAAAGAAGCGCTAGCGAGCGGCCATCGATGCGCGGGAGGGAAATGAGTCAAGAGAAGGAAATCGATCGATTACCTTGCCGGGAACTTCTGCCACTGGCTGCTGCTGCCGCTGCCGCCGCTGCTTTCCATGCCGCATCATGTCCACAAGCTCGATGCTCGTCATCGCCGCCCGATCGTCGCCGCCGCGCAGGCGCATTGGCGCTGAGAAGAAGGCCCTAGCTTTCGGCCCGCCATTTCCCTCTATTTAAACGAGCCAGGCCTCTGGTACGGCATGGACCACATCTTCGTACGAATAGGCCAAATGTGAGAAGTCCATTATGGGCATTTGCTGGAATAACACCCGTCCACGACAATCTATCTCTTCTCTGCATTGAATCCAGCACGAATTAATCTTTAGGCATCTGGCTATGGCCCCAAATTCCCCCCAAAGAGTGTGTCAACCGAGGAGATCGCCCACCGGCATTGTATCAAAAGCATTGTCACCTTTATCAAAATGACCTTCTTGGGCATATGCTGCCTAGCAGCAGTTCCACGGCATCCAGCATGCTGCTAGATCCGAATGGTGCCAGCATTTCTCAGCGAGCACTACGTTCCAGGTGACCGCTGACAAAAGGATCCCGGGCACTGCTGCTGGTGTCGAGAAGCTGGACCTCTGGTGGCGCCTGCCGCATTTGCCATAGCTCAGGAGCAGCGAGATTGGTATCGTCACGCTGTCGATGATCTTGGGGGCGTTCTGCCATGTTCTTGGGTGATCACTCTTCGATCCAATCTATGACAATGCAGCGAATGGAGAGAGCTCGAAAGGCGCTACAGGTAGTCTCTAGTGGTGCGATGGCCGAATTCCAAGGCCATGGAATTCGGCCAGCTAGATAGGGGACGTTGTTGTGTTTAAGCTCACTTTACGGATTTCATGCAAGAGATCATGCAGGATTCCGGGACACACGGCTCTGTTCTATCGGCCTTCTTTCCAAGTCCAAAATGGTGGAGCTTGTTTCGTGGGATGATCAGTTGCTGGCCGTGGTAAGAATGCCCTTGGGTTTTTCGCGAGCACGAAGTTCGCCAAAAAGACTTCCAATGCTGCCACCTTTACGAAGATCCAAGCTCTGTCTGCAAGAAGAGGCTACTGGCAATCTTTCACGAGCTTCTTAGCCTCACGATCGAAAAGAGAGCTGCTTCTACAAGGTTCAGAGAATTGTTGCGTGCTCAAATGATGACCGATGACCGGGTAGAGTCTGCTATGCTTTGAGCTTACTTCACAAGCTGTGGCTTTTAAGGGTGATCATAAGCCAATAAACATAGCATCACTAGAACCAGGAAACACACAAGGTTTTAAGGATCTACGATCAAACATGAAGCACTTGCCTTGCCACGAGCTCTCTGCCGGCTGTGTCTCTTCCAAGTACCTGAGAATTTCAGAAACCTTAGTCCACATTAAAACTCAAGCTAAACGTTGGATTCTCTGGGCATGGTGTAGAAAGCATTTCCTGAAAGGTTTCACGACTCGGCATTGCATCAAAAACATTCTTAGCTTGTTCCAAATGACCGAGGAGAGCGTATGCTGCAAGAGGATCGAGTTAAGAAGCTGGGTTCTTGATCAAACCCAGAGTTTCAGCGAATGCCGAGATGAGAGACGATTCATGCTGCGACACACGGCTCTGGAATCGGTGGATTGGAGACTTCACGGCCTTCGTGGGGAATGCTGATCTTGAAGCTTTCCCTGGGTGGTTGGAGCCTGTTTCGTGGGATCAGTGACTGAGCTGTGGATGTGGTTTAGTGATCATGTTCTATATGAAATTCTCGGTTTGAGCGTTTCCAAAGAAGTTGGAAGTTGACAACTTCCAATGCTGTCATCTTTACGAATACCCTAGAAGATCCAAGTAGTGAGACTAGCTAGTGAAAGGCAATTTGTCGCGAATGTAACTTTGGGTATCGAAAGTTATTTGTCGGCCAGTCCTTATGGACACTCTTTCCTTACTGCTATGACGGCAGGAGGTCGGTATTGCTAATACCCTTTATCAGTCCCTCTTGTGCTAGTGGAATTAACTGAGCATTTCAAGTGTATTTAGAACGGACGAGCATAAGGACAGAATTCCTACATGTTATTAGTTAAACATATTTAGCCCGGTAAGGAGTTCCTATCTCGTTATGTCTTGCACTAGCTAGTGACAAAAACCCTCGCATATTGAGAGTAGTCCCTCAATATCACTGGATGATAGCTTACCATGTCTGCCAAACACCCTCGCTATCATGCCCTTTGTGTTAGTCGCATTTTGGTCCCAAATGTTATTTATAGAAAGTGTCTAAATTTGCTCATTTGGCATATTTATAGAATGTAGAGATTCACCTGAAGTCCAAATTCGCAATCTAGCGCCATTCCATATTTAGTAAGTTTCAAGCTTGTCGCAAAAACTAACTCCTAATACTAAAAGGGGCTTGGGGTGAAAGCCCAAAGCGTGTGTTCCTCAAGGGGGAAGGGGGGGGGGGGTTCCAAATGTATAGTAGGGATAGTGGGTAGGTTGGGCATGACTGACCAACTTGAGGCATATTCTAGCTCTCACTTGCGTGCTTGTCCTTGTTCTGCGTCCATCTTGGGTCTAAGCCCAAGTTCCATACCATGCTAGCTGGTGGAGTACCCATATCCTCACATTAGGCCACCAGTATGCCAAAATAGCACCAGACTCCATTTGGCTCCATTTTGCGTGTTAGTCCTGGTATTGGGATGTTGGTTGCTCCAAAACTGTTCCAAGTCACTCTAGGCTCCTATCCCTTCGCTCCTTGGGCTGTATGCTAGGGAGTTGCTCTGTGGTTTAGTTCCGTCACTCCTTGGCTCCATGCTTGGGAGTTTGGCACCGTTCCTTCGCTCAGTGGCCCAAGGCCCTAAACCTCGGGTTGCGCACCACTATCCTTTGAACATGTGGCATATGACATGTGGCATGTGTCACGTGGCATAAAGAGGGTTTAGGTTCCGCTTCGTGGTGTTATCCTATAGTAAAACACCATAGGATAAAGGGTCAAAACCATGTGTGCTACATTTGGTATCAGAGAATGAGTCTCGGCGAGTATTATCCTATGAGATTGGGCAACTAGTCTCGTTGCATACGTAGAGATGAAAACAATGATCCAAGTGGGTACACGTTTAGGTGCAAAGGCTTTGCAGTTGTTCCTTGGGTATGGATTTATTTACCTTGTTGTACCTTATGATGTGAGCTTGCTCTTGGGCTCATAGAATGGATTTGAAATGTTTCGTTTGCATAAGTTTGCACTTGGGCTTGTGAGTGAGGCACATTAGCAACTCAAGGTTACACTTTGAGTTGGCAGAGTTAATGTTAGCCTATCAGTGGTTCCATGAGTTGTTCCAATGGTTCCATAAGTTGTTCCAGTGGTTCCATAAGTTGTTCCAGTGGTTCCATAAGTTGTTCCATGTACCATGGGTGAAAGTAAACCTTCCCTGGGTTTGCTATGAGTGGCAAATAGACTGGTCCGGTGCTATTTAGCATGGCACTAACCCCTTTTCCAATTGGCTTAAGGGGAGAGAGATAAGGTGCGCTACAGTTGGTATCAGAGCAAATGGCACGGGTTCAATTCCCATTGATTAGTGGCTACTTAAAAGTATAATATACCCTTGCGCAAGGTATATTCCTACCCCTAAATTTGAAATCGTACGTATTGGGCATCCATGCGTACGTCCTTCCTCTTGTGTGGAGTATCCACGGACGAAGGTATCCACCGTGGGACTGCAGTACGGGTGGATGACTAGTTGCCTCACATGGAATAGCTGGTCTACACAATGGAAGGATTGGTAGATTGAGTGCGGAAATGGAGGTGTTAGTTCCCCTTGGCTCAGTAGGGGTTATTAGTCAATAGTCAATGAGGACATTGACATCTCTGAAGGGGGGGTGAGTGTAGCACATGTGATCATGGGATGAGATTTGAATATACTGTCACTATAGATCCTTGAAACCTTGGGAGATAAATGGGGATAAAATAGCCATTAAGGGCTCTCTCATCAAGCAATTGCCCCTTTTCCAGTTGGCTTAAGGGGAGAGAGATAAGGTGCGCTACAGTTGTGACTTCGGGTATCGAAAGTTACCTATCGCGACAGTCTTACAAATGGTGAGTTGTGGGATGGATAGCGGTGAAGCGCTAAACCATTTTGTCTAGGCTTGCTATTGGAAAACTTGGTTGCAATGCTCAATTATTTTCCGGGGAACCTTGCTATTGCTCCTTGAGTAGCTTGATATTGGATTAATTTTGAGTTTGGTCAGAAAGAGAGTGGCATAAGCTTATCCATGTTGTGAATAAAAGTTAGTGGTGTTGGGTGTTGTAAATTTCTATTAGTGGAGTGTGGCATTTATGTTGCATTTTATCGGATTGAGTTAGCACTTGATATTCACATAAACCTTTGAAGTAATGACATGGACGTTGCTCGTGGTGTTGCTAAATTGATGATCAAGTTATTGTGATACTTATATCATAACCATGTGATAATGAGCAATGTGTTTACGAAGTTGCTTGGTTAAATGATGATCAACCCCAAAGTGGTTGATGGTGAAGCTAGTCTACTTGCACGAAGTAGCATTGTAGTAGTTTTGACTGAATTCTCAATAGTGGTCCATTATGCTAAGCTTAAGAGTATTCCTTAGTTCCTTGAGTTTGCCCATTGAGGTGTTGGAAAAGGTTATAACATTAATTTGTTATAGCTTGTTGGTTTATTCGTTAACACTTGGAGTAGATTGTTGGATGGAGAAGGTGTGTAGCTAAGGCATTGACATTGTTAGCACTTGTGTTAGTGGAATTGGCATTGTTATTTCAAATGATGAGGAATTTCCTTAGAACTTGATTTTCTATGTCATTTTTCTTGTTAGTGTTTTAGGCTTCACATTACATCTTGAAGGTGATTGAAAAAGAGTGTTAGTGCAATGTGGATATCCAAAGATATGATCTTCGTGATCAAGCTTTAGATGTTCATTTTGCATTTTGCAGATGTCGGTGTTGAATATCAAAATATGGGCATGATGTTCAACACTTTTATAATCATCATGTTGAACATCAAAGTTCAACATACTGTGGGTCATGAGAATTTGTGTTGAGGTGAACCTATGTGAAGTTGATAGTAGGAGGAAGTTGGTTGAGTTTTGAAAGTTTGCATTTCTAGACTAAGAG